CATAGTGATTTCTTTAAATATTTTATCTAGTATTATCTCCTCTTCTGCAGTAGTCCGATCGATGACGCTTGTGCTTAATTTTTCAAATAAAATGGCTCACTACCTTATCCAATCTAAAAAGTGTCATAGAATCTTCCGCATGTAAGGAATTTATTTTAAGTTATTGTTAAGCTGTATATCCTAAATATAATTCATGATGGCTTTTGGATACGTGTAAAAAAGAGGCTATTTATTGGTGATTTTAATTCACTATTTAATTAATGAAGCCAAACAAAAATTATTTTTTTACGATATTCTGATTCTACCCCTAAAGGTTATTGTCGAGTTTGCTCTCACACCGCCTTATTCGATAAAATAGGTCAGCTGCTCCGGCAAACATGACCGAGGATGTCATTTCTTGCCTCAAGAAGTTCGGCGAAGCTTTAGGGAGTAGCTCGATCTCGTCAGAATCTGTAGGTTTGGTTAAATATGATGGTATCTGTTGTCACGTCTAAGTTTGACACGGGTTTTACAACATTATAAACCTGTTTTCTCTTGCAGAAGCTCAAAGTACTAGATGGATTAAGCGATGCTAATTTAACATTAAATGAACTTTACGAATCCGGTGTTGGCAGAGCTGTGAGCAAGCTAAAAGGCGAACCGGGGCTATTAGGCAAGGCGGCTCGAGATTTGGTTTTGAAATGGAGAAACCTCCTCAACGATCACCTAAGACGTGAAAACATTGATGTGCTTCCTGATTTATCGGAAAAGAATTATCAAGAACTGGACTCACCTAAAAAGCTACAGATGCTCGCTATTACAAAAGATAAGTGTCTAGAAGGTAAAGAAATCCAACGCAAGTTACAGAAGCCTCCCACTGCGGGAACTCTTAAAGGCCCATTCCTCAATGGTGATGCTAACTTTATGAAAACAGACCACATTCCTAGCCCAAAAGCTGATGATGTGTCCAAACTTACTATCAGATCGAATATTTCTTCTCCCCTTTCGGAAACGCCATCTCACTCTTCCTCGAAAGAATATGTTGATAAAAATTCATCTTCAGGAGGCAAGACAGTCAAGAGAAAGTTATCTTCAGGGGACAAAAAGGATGGCAGTTCTGATTACCTAGATTCAAGTAGTGGTCTATCATTCATGGAGTGTCTAACTTCCATTTCTTCGAACTCTAGTAAGAGACAAACTCCTAAGAAAACTACCCCTAAGTCAAGTAAACTCAAGGCTGATGAACCCGCTTCGTTTTTTATTCCATCCAAAGAGTTTAGCAAAGACATCATTTCCTCATTATCTCAGCCTTGCGTCAGGCCCGATGCTATTCATCCTGATCATCAAGCCACTTTAAAAGGTAGGCTGTGATTGAGTAGCAACCATCATTTGTCTACCATTAATTCACAATTTCCATCGTTTTTATATATTTCGCCTTCCAAGCCTTAGCTCCTACACTTACTCTTTATCGTGTTCAAATCCTACAGTTATCTGTGCTTGTTCACTCTTTTCAAAACAGGAGCACTTCATAATTTATTTTCATCTAAGCTCATTGAAAATGAAACTATTAACATTGAATTTCATCTTATTTTCGAATAATTACACTTCGTATTCCTACATTTGA